ATATTTTAAGATGGCCATAACTCCTTAAATATTGATATTTCAGCGTTTTTAGCTATTATTTGTGATCACTTTTCTAGGCATGAATTATTCGATATTTTAAAATGGCCATAACTCCTTAAATATTGACATTTCAGCGTTTTTAGCTATTATTTGTTATCACTTTTTTAAGCATGAATTATTCAATATTTTAAAATGGCCATAACTCCTTAAATATTGACATTTCAGCGTTTTTAGCTATTATTTGTGATCACTTTTCTAGGCATGAATTATTCAATATTTTAAAATGGCCATAACTCCTTAAATATTGACATTTCAGCATTTTTAGCTATTATTTGTGATCACTTTTCTAGGCATGAATTATTCGATATTTTAAAATGGCCATAACTCCTTAAATATTGACATTTCAGCGTTTTTAGCTATTATTTGTGATCACCTTTTTAAGCATGAATTATTCGATATTTTAAAATGGCCATAACTCCTTAAATATTGAAATTTCAGCGTTTTTAGCTATTATTTGTGATCACTTTTCTAGGCATGAATTATTCAATATTTTAAAATGGCCATAACTCCTTAAATATTGACATTTCAGCATTTTTAGCTATTATTTGTGATCACTTTTCTAGGCATGAATTATTCAATATTTTAAAATGGCCATAACTCCTTAAATATTGACATTTCAGCGTTTTTAGCTATTATTTGTTATCACTTTTTTAAGCATGAATTATTCAATATTTTAAAATGGCCATAACTCCTTAAATATTGACATTTCAGCGTTTTTAGCTATTATTTGTGATCACTTTTCTAGGCATGAATTATTCAATATTTTAAAATAGCCATAACTCCTTAAATATTGACATTTCAGCGTTTTTAGCTATTATTTGTGATCACTTTTTTAAGCATGAATTATTCGATATTTTAAAATGGCCATAACTCCTTAAATATTGCAATTTCAGCGTTTTTAGCTATTATTTGTGATCAATTTTCTTGGCATGAATTATTCAATATTTTAAAATGGCCATAACTCCTTAAATATTGACATTTCAGCGTTTTTAGCTATTATTTGTGATCACTTTTCTAGGCATGAATTATTCATTATTTTAAAATGGCCATAACTCCTTAAATATTGACATTTCAGTGTTTTAATATTTAAATTTATTTTTTTTAATATATTTTTTTAAATGAAATTATTGAATCCTTTATAACTATCTTCAATATTACAGTATTTCAAACCTATGTTTCTAAATTGAAGGACTTGTCCTTGTTTTGCTCTGAGCTTTATCCATATTTTTGTCATTTTTTTCTTTTTTTTTATTTGACTGAATGCTTTTATTCTTTTGATAAGTGTAACTAAATTAGGAAATTTTTATTTTGATTGAAGTTATGAAAAAAGAAGACCATTTCGTCTGTCTGCTCTGCTGACATTAGGTAGACAACTATCAACAATTTGATGCTGGCTAAATGGACAACAGACAAACAAACATTTAACCCTAACCAGGCATTATAACAAATATAGATGACGGATATGTAAAGGGTTTAATTTTAGAAGTGATGTTAGCGTTTTCATTCGGTCTTTTTTATTTTAGTGTTTTTTTTTTCGAGTTCATTCCATTTAAGCTCATTAGGAATTTAGTTGTGTCTGTTATCCTTGAAATGGCCAGTGGATGTGACTGACACAAAATATAGTTTTAAGGGGAAATCCGTGTTTGCCAAGTTAAAATTAATAAATAAAAGTCAATCAAAATTCAAATATTAAAAATGGAATAATTGGAAATACCTTAAACTAAGAAAAAAAAAAAAAATTCGGGCAAGGAAGCTATTTTGAAAATATTTAATCATATAACATAATGTGAAAAGTTTCAAAAAAAAATCCGTCATAGATTGTAGCACCCATTGCAAACTGGTAATACAGGATGAGATGAAAAAACTGCAACCAACTTCAGACTGTTGTCATTTCTAAGCCACTCGGCCGACAGCTGTTAAAATTATTACAGCGCACAAAAGCACAAGTGGCTATCATTAGAGATTGAAAGATGAGCTCGGGGTAAAGCCGCTATGCAAGAACTTACATCGCAACAGAAAGAAAATAGACTCAAATAGCAAAAAAGATGCTTCGCTTGGCCGAAAGTTGTGAACTGCCGAATTTGGTCTTCTCCGATGAGAAAACATTCGTTGTCCACAAGTTTGTAAACAAACAAACAAAATGATCGTGTTTACTTGCCAAAGAGGTCAGCTGAAAATGTGCACCTTCGGTTGGCCACCAGAACTCAACCGCCGGCCATGGTGATGGCGTGGTCGCTCTCCGCTCGTATTAATCGAAAATATTCTGGAGGGTGTATTAAAGCCTTTGGCATGTCAACATTTTGACCGGAGACCTTGGACTTTCTAATATGTACCATCGCACTCAGCACGCGCCACGCTTCATTTCCAGCGCACAATGGCCACCAAAATCTCCGGATACCAATCCTTTGGAACATTGTGTCTAAAGTATTTTGGAAAGCAAGGTTGGCACTAAAAAATACCAAAATACCGCAGAGCAACATTCAGGCAGCGTGTGACGGTTCATTGGCCGTTTGAAGTTTAGATTCGAACAAATCTAAACTTATTCTAAAATTTAATGATATTTCCGACATTTTTGCTTTTATTCAATAAAATTAAAAAAATGTAAAAATTATGCCGTTTGATTTTGTTGCAGTTTTTTATCTCACCCTGTACAGAATTTGAAACAATTTCGGTAAAAATGTCGCTAAAATCATCACAATACCGACTATTGGGAGGTACCGTAATATGGAGGCTATACGAAAACGTGGACCGACAGGACCCATTTACGAACTTAACCTTCCTACTGGTAAACTATGCATGAATGCAAAATTTAGCCTTCAATTCGTACAGTGGAGGGTGTAAAAATAAATTTCCCTTCGCTGCGCCATCTATTGATTGTAAAACGCACTTTATCATTTTAATTGTGCCAATAATACAATAGCTAATACAACAACCCGCCATTTTAATAATAACAATAAATTCCTATAGATGTCGTCTTTACCCTCATCGTCTAGAGCCAATAGAGATAGAGACTCCAGACCTTAAAAAAAACTCGCTCGAATTTTTACAAAGAGTGAAGCTAATTTCAATTGGAGCGAGAGGACTCCTGGGAGCAGAAAAAAATCGAAAAGCAACTTTTTTCAATGTCGCTCGAATAGGAGTGTGCATATTTTCCTCGTTTTTAAGGTGGAGCAAAATTCGTTCAAAATCGAACACATTCTACTCTTACCGAGCAGTCTTTATACCCTACACCACAAGGTGGTCAGGGTATTATGTCTTTGTGCATTTGTTTGTAACAGGCAAAAGGAAATGAGATAGACCCATAGTTCCTTTTGATGATCTGCAAAGAATCACATTCTGAGTCGATTTATGCATGTCCGTCCGTCTGTCTGTCCATGTATTTTTGTAAACAAAGTACAGTTCGCATTTATTGCCCTATCCAGATGAAATTTTGCACAAATCATTTGTTTGGCCCAAGGACGAACCCTATTGACATTGGAGATTATCGGTCAAAATTTAGATATAGCTCCCATATATATCTTTGTCCGATTTGCCTTTTATTGTGCACCAAACGTGTAATATCAGACAGAATAGTATGTAATTGTACAAATACAACCAAATTAGGCCTGAAAATAAGTATGTCAAATTTGATCGAAATCGGTTCAGATATAGCTATAGCTCCCATATATATTGTTCATCCGATTTGTTATTTTTGTCCTCCGCAGCCGTAATATTCACTCTGTAACAACAATATTTGGAGAAATATATCAAATACAGCTCAGAAATACATTTGCTAAATTTTATCGAGATCGGTTCAGATTTGGATATAGCTCCCATATATAACTTCGTCCGATTTACCTTTTATTGTCCACCAAACGTCTAATATTTGTCCAAATGGGATGGAATTTGGCACTTACGACCGAATTGAGACTAGAAGCTAGTATGCCAAATTTGGTGAAGATCAGTTCAGATATAGCTATAGCTCCCATATATGCTGTTCATCCGATTTGTTATATTTGTTACCCACAGCCGTATTATGCACTCCGTAACAACGATATTCAGGGAAATATATCAAATACAGCTCAGAAATATCTTTGCCAAATTTTATCGAGATCGGTTCCGATTTGGATATAGCTCCCATATATACTTTTATCTGATTTCAAATGAATTGTGCACCAAATGGGCAATTCAAATCCGAATTTAAAAGATACAAATGCTTCGGCATATTTAGTCCTTTGAACTTTAAATCGTAATTATAATCATAACGTGTATGATTGAATTCTCCCATAGAAACTTTAAATTGTTATGCGGAGCCCTACTAAATTAGCAAAGTGGTGTAGGGTATCATAAAGTCGGCCAAGCCCGACTTTTGGACTTTTTTTACTGTTTTTTTTTTTTTTTTTTTTTTTTTTGGGAAAACGTATTTTTTCAGCCTTCAGTATATAGTAGGCTTTCCAGGGAGTCTTCTAATCTAAGAACGCAATTGCCTAGGTATTTTCCACACAAAATACCATAAAGCCAATATCGCTTGATAAATAATCCTTAATCGCTATGTCGATTAGTCGTCCATTGTTTATTTTCCATCAAAAATGTTGATATTTTTATTTTCTAACCAAAAAAAAAAAAATGTCAAGTACAGATAAACCCCATCTCATGTTACCATGAGCATGAGTAAATTAAGTTTCGAATTCCAACAAAATACAAATTTCAAATGCAACGCCTTACTCATGATCAAGGGTCGCTTCTGGCCTCTTCAGACGAAAAAAAAAAAATAACACACCATCACGACATACCTTTGCTATCAAATCGAATTTCCAAATCTGTAGCTATGTATATGTTGGTGTATTCCCAACAAGCACATGTATTTGAAGCTAGGTCCACCAATGCTTATCAAAAATCGAAAAAAAAAAAACACAGATAGAATTGGTTTTTTTTGGTACAAGTAGAGAGTGGCGACCAATGTCGCAACGTTAGTCTGTTGCAGGTGCCGAGAGAGTAAAGAACACAAAATAAAAATCTAATCTTAATCGCCAGTTGGTTTTATTAGAAATCGACGCGTTATCGTACCGTTCAAAATTCAAAATTGTAGTAACAACAACGAAATTGGAAAAAAATAGTTTTGAAATTTTTGTTGTTAATATTTTTAAGAGCGACACACATAAACAAAAGCCAGACTAGAGTCAAGGGCTAAGAAAAGGAATTACGGATTTAAACAACATCGAAACTGAGAACAAAATTAATTTAAAAAGAATTCAATTTTTTCTGACTGTGATATAATTTAAAATTCCTAAAAATAAAAAAATAAAATATTTCAAATCATTACAAATTAACATACATTTGTTGTTAATTACAAATTTTTAAGTTACCTCAATTGTAAGAGATCGTACTTAGTTGGTCCAACAATTTCTTGGGTATGTGTGTTTTCAACTTTTGCCTGTATGGGTGTATGTGTATGTGTTTGAAAATATATATTGACAGCTGATCTCTTTTTGTTCTAGGTTCAAAATTCATAAATCTTGATGCAAATAATATAACCTAAGTCCCGTCCAAATTATCAACAGTAGCATGATGTCACGTACCGTACGGTAAGTATTGCCTGCACATAACGACAACAGCAACAAAATCATATCTCGTATGGTGCGATAATCTACGAAATTTTAGAAAAATCTACCAAAAAAAGTAGAATTTGTTGTCAATAGAAGTCGTTAGAGAGGTCTTTGAAGACCTTCCAGAAGCTCTTTTGCATTTAGAAGACCTTTAAAAGGTCTCTAAAAGACATTTTTAAAGGTTTTGTGTGCATACGAGACCTCAAAAAAGCCTTTTGGGTATAGAAGAGTATCTAAAGATCTCCCATATGTGTAGATGACCTTCAGAAGCTATCTTCGTATGGTGCGATAATCTACGAAATTTTAGAATAATCCACCAAAAAAGTAAAATTTGTTGCCAATAGAAGTCGTTAGAGAGGTCTTAAATGCTTTGATGACCTTCCAGAAGCTCTTTTGCATTTAGTAGACCTTTAAAAGTTCTTTAAATGACATTTTCAGAGGCTTCGTGTGCATACGAGACCTTAAAGAAGCCTTTTGGGTACAGAAGAGTACCTAAAGATCTCCCATATGTGTAGATGACCTTCAGAAGCTATTTTCGTATGGTGTGATAATCTACGAAATTTTAGAATAATACACCAAAAAAAGTAAAATTTGTTGCCAATAGAAGTCGTTAGAGAGGTCTTTAATGCTTTGAAGACCTTCCAGAAGCTTTTAGCATTTAGTAGACCTTTAAAATGTCTATAAAATACATTTTCAGAGGCTTTGTGTGCATACGAGACCTCAAAAAAGCCTCTTGGGTATAGAAGAGTACCTAAAGATCTCCCATATGTAGATGACCTTCAGAAGCTATCTTCGTATGGTGCGATAATCTACGAAATTTTAGACTAATCCACCAAAAAAAGTGAAAATAAAATTTGTTGCCAATAGAAGTCGTTGGAGAGGTATTCAAGGCATTAAAGGCCTTCCAGAAGTTCTTTTGCTTTTAGAAGACCTTCAAAAGGTCTCTAAAAGAGGCTTTGTGTGCTTACAAGATATCAGAAAAGCCTTATGGCTATAGAAGAAGTCCTAGAGGTCTTCCATATGTAGACCTTCATATTTCTTGTTCCGTAGGCGTGTGATAAGGCTGGGCTTTTTTTTGAAAATTCGTACCAAATGGGTACGAAATGTACTTCGAACAATCATAGTACCCATTTTCAAAAAACACCACGAGATCTCAAAACTAGCGATAATCTACGAAATTTTAGAATAATCCACCAAAAAAAAAAGAGTTGTTGCCAATAGAAGTTGTTTGAGTGTGAGTATTCAAGGCACTAAAGGCCTTCCAGAAGGTGTGGTGAACTTAGAAGACCTTCCAAAGGTCTATACAAGACATTTTCAGAGGTTTCAGATGCATAGAAGCCTTTTGGGTATAGAAGGGGACCTAAAGGTCTTCGATATGACTTGTTCCGTAGGTGACTGATAAGGATGGGGTTTTTTTTTGAAAATTCGTACCAAATGGGCACGAAAAGTACTTCGAACCATCACTGCACGCAAGTGCGAAAACACCAGCAGATCTCAAAACCAGATACCAACAGAGACCTCACTTTAAAATTTCTGGAATCCAGCTCTATACATTTACTGAATACCAAATTTACTGAATACCATTAAGCTCTTTTTGTATAATTTTAGTACTCCGCAATCCAAGACACCTACAGTTATCGGTTTAAGATATAGCCCTTCACCCAATACCCAACTCTGTATCAATTAGTACTTTTCGAACAATTATCTTCTCTCAACAATAACACTGACATCCATATCAAATTTCAAGATTCCAGCTCTACCCCTTTACCTAATACCAAATTTAGTACTATTTAGTACTTTAGTACTATAGTACACATTTCCAAAACCACTTCCATATCTCAAATCCAGATACCAACAGAGACTTAATACCAAATTTCGACATTCCAGCTTTATTCCTTTACCCAATACCAAATTTAGTACCACTTAGTACTTTTCGAACAATTATAGTACGCATATCCAAAACTGGTACCTTCTCTCAGCAACAAACACCAACAGTGACATCCATATCAAATTTCAAGATTCCAACTCCATTTCTTCACCCAATACCAAATTTAGTACTATTTAATTTATTAGTACACATATCCAGAACCACTTCCATATCTCAATTCCAGATACCAACAGAGGCCTAATATCAAATTTCCGATTCCAGCTCTATTTCTTCACCCAATACCAAATTTAGCACTATTTCGTACAATTATAGTTCACATTTCCAAATCAACTTCCATTTCTCAAACCCAGATACCAAAAGTGACCTAATACCAAATTTCGGCATTCCAACTTTATCCCTTTACCCAATAACAAATTTAGTTCCACTTAGTACTTTTCGAACAATTAAAGTACACATATTCAAAACTAGTACCTTCTCTCAGCAACAAACACCAACAGTAACATCCATCTTAAATTTCAGGACTCCTGATCAATTTCTTCACCCAATACCAAATTTAGTACTTTTCGTACAAAAAATAGTACACATTTCCAATACCACCGCCATATCTCAATACCAGATACAAACAGGGAATTAAAACCAAATTTCGGGATTTGTTACTATTTGGTACTTTTAGTACGAATTTCGAAAACAACATCCATTTCTCAAACCCAGATACCAAAAGAGACCTAATACCAAATTTCGGCATTCCAGCTTTTTCCCTTTACCCAATACCAAATTTACTACCACTTAGTACTTTTTGAACATTTAAAGTAGGGATATCTAAAACTAGTACCTTCTCTTAACAACAAACACCAAACAGTGACATCCATATCAAATATCGGGGTTCCAGCTTTATCTCTCCACCCAATACCAAATTTAGAACCACTTAGTACTTTTCGTACAATTATAGTACAAATTTCAGGATACCTGCTTTATTTCTTCACCCAATACCAAATTTAGTACAATTTAGTACTTTTTGATCAACTATAGAATACATTTCCATTTTCCACCTCCACATCTCAAACACAGATACCATAAGTAATATAAATATGACATTTCAGAATTTTATCTCTAACCCTTCAACAAAGACAAAATTTAGTACCATTTAGTACTTTTCGTACAATGATAATACACACTTCCAAAACCACCTCCATATGTCCAGCCAACACATAAACAGCGATTTTTATGCCAAATTTCAGAATTCAAAAACTATCTGCTCACCCAATATCAAATTGTACCAAATATGGTACTACTTTGTACTTTTCATACACTTGTATTACACACCACCTCTTTATCACAAACCTACCACCAACAGAGGCCCCAGTACAACATTTCAATATTCCAGCTTCCCCCGTTCACCCTAAACCAAACTGTTCCAAATTTTGTACCATTTAGTACATTTCGCATAATTAGTACAAATTTTCAAAACCACCGTAATATATCAAACGTATTTTCCCAAACTTGATTCTTATACGAAATTTCAAGTATTTAGTTCTATCCGCTCACATAATACCAAATGTTACCTATTTCGAACTTTTCGTAATCTTTGACTACGTATTTCCGTATTTCCCAAAACCCTTTGGTACATCTTTCCTGCACTCCATCAGTGACTCTCATTCCAAATTTCAGTTCATAATTCATACCGTTTGTCCAACACAAAGTATACAATTTTTAGTACATTTTAGTACTTTTCTTAATCTTTTAGTACGAATTTCCAAATACCCTTTGGTACATCTATCCTACACTCCATGACTTATTCCAAAGCTCTATCCGTTCACATAATACTAAATGGTACCATTTTACAAGTTTAGTACCATTTCAGAACTTTTGATAACTTTTTAGTAAAAAATTTCCAAATATTCTTTGGTAGATCTATTCTGCACTCCATCAGTGACTCTCATTCTAAATGTCAGTTCATAGTTCATACCGTTTGTCCAATACAAGTATAAAATTTTTAGTATATTTTAGTACTTGTCGTAAACTTTTAGTACGAATTTCTAAATATCCTTTGATGCATCTATCCTGCACTCCATCAGTGGCTCCTTCTCCTAATTTCGTACCCTTTTAGTACCAAATTTGAAGTTTTTAGCTCTATCCGTTCACATAATACCAAATGGTACCATTAAATAACTTTTAGTACCATTTTAAAACTTTTAGTAGCTATTTGGTACAAATATCCAAATATCCTTTGGTAGATCTATCCTGCACTGCATCAGCGATTCCTATTCAAAATTTCGTCCCATTTTAGTACGGATTTCCAAAACCCAGCAGGCGATTCAAATCAAATCTCTTGAAATTCTTGTAAAATATGAATATATTTTTATACCCTCCACCATAGTAAGGAGAGTAAACTAAGTTTGTCATTCCGTTTGTAACACCTCGAAATATACATTTTAGACCCCACAAAGTATATATATTATTGATCAGCATAAAATTCGATGTCGATTTAGCTATCCGTCTGTAGAAATCACTCTAGCTTTCGAACGAATTGAAGTAGGTTGATAAAATTTTACTCAAATGCATATTATGTCTGGAGGACTTTTGATATTTAAAATGGGCCATGTAGGTCCAACATATAACGGTACCTCCCGATATTCGGTATTTCCATGATTTTAGCGTCATTGTTTCAAATTTGGTATTTGAAGTTCGAAATGGATACTTAAGCCTATGACAGAAAAGTGTCTGAGCAGGTCCCTATTTTGGTATAACCCCCATATAATAGCACCTACCTATATTGGTGATTTAGCTACATTATTCACTGATTTTTTTTTTCAAGTTTCGCATTTGAATATTGTAATGGCTTATGACAAAAGTTGCCTATGCAGGTCCACGTCATCGTTTAGACTCTAATATGACGGCAGAATTAGGTATTTTTAAGATTTTAACAGAATTTTTAACGGATTTTTTTTTTTTTTTGAAAATTGTCAAATTCGTTTCAAATGGTGGAGGGTACTCAAAGTTCGGCCCGGCCGAACTTACAGCTATTTTACTTATTTAACTACTCTTTTATATATATGGACCTTCATAAAATTTTATCTTTACGACTTTTTTTATTAAATAGGCCTAGCATGAGTCCCGTACAATCCAGACGAGGTCTCCTGGATCGATGCTTGACTTCCAAGACTTCTCACGAATATCTTATCAGGCAATGTAAATCAAATATCTTAAAATTTTTGAAAAAATATTTTTTTAAAAAAGTTCAAGATTCTGGGACAATAGGTGCTTGAAGTCGGTTTTCATAAAATCTTCCCTATTTTTAAAAAAAATATATATTTTTGAAAAAAAAATTTTAAAAAATAACGAAAAGATTTTTAAAAGATTATTTCCATATACCCCTATAATAACCCTGCCACCCCCTGTTCTATATATTTCCACCTTTATATGATACAACTTTAGTAATCTCTCTCCTCTCTCTTTTCCTTTTTCTCCAGATACTTTAAACTAATCTACATGGCCGCCGGCATACTGATGAGCAATGCCGATATTTGCGAAACCGTCGACTCCATACAAATCGCACCACGCGTTGAAATGAAAGAGAAACAACAGCAGCAACAGTTAGCGAAAAAGAAATCACGTCTTGCCATTGAAGATAAACCCAGTGTGGAGAAGAAAGGTGCAAATGGATCAGGTGGAGGTGGATGGTTACCGAAACTTAGCCTAACCAACATGGTGGATCGCATCAAGACGCGCATACGCCCCCACTTGCCCGACTTCAGCTTGTGGGCATTGCCCAGTTACGTCATTGATTTTTCCACAAATCTCATTTGTCGTAAATTTATTATCAACAGTGACTGTGATGTTATTTATAAATGAATCGAGAAGATAATAGCTTTAAGAATTAAAATAAAACAATTTTTTAATAGAAAATAATTGCTTAAAATAGTGAAAAATAGAAAAATGTGCCATAAATAAGGAGAAATTAAATGAGAATGTGTTTTAATCTATTATGGGGTAGGACTTATAAAACACACAATTTTTGAAAAGGAGTTTTTTAAGAAAAACTGAAATGAAAATGTGTTTTTATCCATCAGAGGGTTTATTAATAGAAAGTGGACTTATAAAACGCAAGATTTTGGCAGAGGGTTCTTAAGATTTAAAAAAATCAAAAATTTTAAAATTGTTCCCTAAAAAAATGTTTCTGTAAAAAATGTTTAATTTCTTGAAAAAGCTTTAAAAAATGCTCGATTTTTGGTATTCGAAATATTATATATTTTTATATCCTTCACCTTTGGAAAGGAGGGTATACTAATTTTGTCATTCCGTTTGTAACATCCCTAAATATTCGTCGTAGACCCCAAAATATGTATATATTCATAATCAGCATAAAATTCTAAGTCGATTAAACGATGTCCGCCTGTCTGTCTGCCCGTCCGTCTGTCTGTTAAAATCACGATACAGCCCACATTATTTGACGTAGAGCATCAAAATTTAGCAGAACAATTTGTATTGTGTCTAGGATGGTGGGTATTGAAAATGAGATATATCGGTCCACGTATAGTCCCCATATAATGGTAACTCCTGATATTCGGTATTTTAATTTTTTTGTCACATTTTTTTACGGATTTGTCCAAAAATTGGTATTTGTTGGTCATAATGAGTCCCAGCTCCGGTGGCGAAACATTGCATGTATGGGTCCATGATTTGGTATAGCCCCCATATAACAGTACCTCCCGATATGCTCTATTTTGTTGATTTTTGCCACATTTTTTTCACGGATTGCTCTGAAAACTGGGATTTGTGGTTCAAAATGGGTCCTAGTTCGTGTGGCGAAACATTGTATGTGTAGGTCCATGCTTTGGCTCCAATATAACGGTACCTCCCGATATTCGGTATTTGGATGATTTTCGCCACATTTTGTTGACGATTTGATTAAAAATTGGTATTTTTTGGATAATAATGGACTCAAGCTCCGGTGCCGAAACATTGTATGTATAGGTCCACGTTTTTATATAGTCCCATATAGCGGTACCTCTCGTTATTCGCTATTTTGATGATTTTTTTTTTCACATTTTCCATGAATATGTCTAAAAAGTGGTATTTGTGGGTCCTCTTCCCTAATAAACCTCCTCCTTCTCAGCGACTGTTGCCAGTAACTTCTGGGTCACATGCCTCTCCAGCTTTGCCCAATTTTCCCAAGAAATTGGTTTGGCATCTTTGGGTGCCTCTGATGCTAATATTGAAAAGTTGGCCACGGTAGGTATTGATTAAACACCCCCTCCCCCCCAAACATCACTCGTATTGTTTGAAACCCTCTTTTGCAGCTCAATGGTAGGCCTCTTCTCCGAATCGAAAATCATTGGTGGTCCTTTTTCCGCGTCGAAGATTATTGGTGGTCCTTTTCTCCGAATAGAAGACCATTGGCTCTCCGAATCGAAGACCGTTGGTGGTCTTCTTCTTCGAACTGAAGACCATTGGTGGTCTTCTCCTCTGAATAGAAGACCAATGGTGGACTTGTCCTCTTCTTCTCCGAATAAAAGACCATTGGTTCTCCGAATCTAAGACCATTCGTGGTCTTCTTCTCCGAAAAGTAGACCATCGGTCTTTTACTCCGAATCTATGACCATTCATGGTCCTTTTCTTCGAATTAAAGATCATTGGTAATCTTCTTCTCCGAATCGAAGACTATTGGTGGTCTTCTTTTTCGAATCGAAGACCAGTGGTAGTCTTCTTCTCCGAATAGAAGACTTTTGGTGGTATTCTTTTCCGAATCGAAGACCTTTTGCGTTTTTCTTCTCTGAGTCGAAGACCTTTGATGGTATTTTTCTCCGAATCGAAGGCTAACGGCGGTCTTCGTATCCGAATCAAAGATCATTGGTGGCGTTTTTTCCGAATCGTAGGCTATTGGTGGTCTTCTTCTCCTAATCGAACACCATTGCAAGTCTTCTTCTCCGAATAGAAGACTTTTGCTGGCATTCTTTTCCGAATCAAAGACCATTGATAGTCTTCTCTGCGCATAGAAGACCATTGATGCTCTTCTTGTCCGAATTGCAGACCGTGAGTCTTCTTTTTCGAATAGAAGACCCTATATCTTCAATTCCGAATTGGAGACCACTGATCTCTTTTTCCGACCGGAAGTCCATGGGTCTTCTTCTTATTCGAAGAAAGGATAACCTGTCCTCTTCCGCCTTTTATATAAAATCTTGCAACTATTTCTAACAAATCTCCTCCTTCTTAGCGACTGTTGTTACGAACTGCTGGGTCACATGCCTCTCCAGTTTTGCCCAATTTTTCCAAGAAATCGGTTTGGCATCTGTGGGTGCCTCTGATGCGGATATTGAAAAGTTGGCCACGGTAGGTATTGATTACCCCTCCCCCCCAAACATCATTCATATTATTTGACATTCTACCTCTCTCTCTTGTAGCTCTATTTCTTCACGGTGGAATTTGGCCTGTGTCATCAAGCGGATAACTCTTTCAAAGTCTATGGAGCAGGTCTGCTAAGCTCCGTGGCCGAGCTGCAGCATGGCATTACAGCCAAGAAGAAAATAAAGAAATTAGATCCCGAGGTGACGTGCCAGGAGGAGTGCATCATCACATCCTATCAGAATGCCTACTCTAATACCGATTTCTTTGAGGAGGCCAAGGATGCATTTTCACTAATGCCTCTCAAATTTTATTTTCACACTTCATAAAATATTGGAAAAATAATTGAAACTATTTTTTTTCAATTTCCAATATTTTCCATTCCAAGCTTAGCGAAGGTCCTCTATATCCGGAACACCTGTGGAGTAGTAAATAAAACTGAAGTTTTTCAATTCTTATTCCATGTATATTTGTATGTCTGTGTATGTATGTAAATATATATATATTTTGGTATAATACATTTGAATAAATTGTAACATTTATAAGTTTGTATGTGTGTGTGTCTTTGGTTAAGCAATTTACAACATTTAGAAATATTTATTATTTTTTTAATTTTTTCTAGGATGAGAATCTAAAATTTTCGATTTTTTGTTTTGGAAAAACATACATAAAATTATTAATTCTTGGTCCCAAGTAGTCTCACATTTCAATACGTTTTAGGTTTTACTCATTATCATCTCCCACTTATTTTTCATTGAGCTCCTCTTCCAAAGGATTCATAATTATCGAATGTTGTGAAGTATCCGAGTTATCAGGACTTATGGCATTCTGGGGACTACGATCCCCTTTGACATTCAAACTGGTCTGCAGCATTTTAGCAATACTATCGACATCCAGGGTCTCATCGGTGGCAGAGATTTTTCTCAAAGCCGAACAGACAATACTCAAATCACCCTTCAGTTCACTGACCACAGCGGTGATTTTCTGGGCATTCGACAGGACCTCAACGCTTTGGGTATAGGGATTATAGCGCACACCAAATGGGCGTTGAATGCTCTCAGCAAAGGCCCTGTAACAAAAAGAGAGAGAGAGAGAGAACTTCATTGAAAAATTTTCTTTGAGAGAAAAAAACTCCCCATACCTCATTTTCTCCTTGGCCTCCTCAAAAGAATCCGTATAATAGTAGGCATTCTGATAGGATGTGATGATACACTCCTCTTTGCAGGTCACCTCGGGGTCGAATTTCTTTATCTTCTCCTTGGCTGTAATGGCATGCTGCAGTTCGGCCACGGAGCTTAGTAGACCTGCTCCATAGACTTTGAAAGAGTTATCCGCTTGATGACACAGGCCAAATTCCACGGTGAAGAAATAGAGCTACAAAAGAGGGGGGTAGAATGTCAAATAATACGAATGATATTTGGGGGGGAGGGGTAATCAACACCTACCGTGGCCAACTTTTCAATATCCGCATCAGAGGCACCCAAAGATGCCAAACCAATTTCTTGGGAAAATTGGGCAAAACTGGGATTGGCCAGAAGAGGCATGTGACCCAGCAGTTCGTGGCAACAGTCGCTGAGAAGGAGGAGATTTATTAAACGTAGTTGCAGGATTTTATATAAAAGAGGGAAGAGGACACGTAATCTTCTATTCGAAGACGATGACCCATAGTCCTCCATTAGGAGAAAAAAACAGTGGTATTTTATTCGGAGGAGAAGCCCATGGTCGTGTATTCGGTCCCAGGATCTTCTATTCGGAAAACCCAGGGTCTTCTACTCGGAGAAGAAGGCCACTAATGGTCTTCGATTCAAAGAACAAGACCATCAATCGTCTTCGATTCGGAAAAAAATACCATCAATGGTCTTCTACTCGGAGAAGAAGACCACTGATAATTTTTGATTCGAAAAAGAGAACCAGCAATTGTCTTCGATTCGAAAATGAGAACCAGCAATTGTCAGCAAGTGGTCAGTGGTCTTCTTTTCGAAGAAAAAGACCTGTGATCTACTATTCGGAGAAGAAGACCACCATTGGTCCTTTATTAAAAGAAGACCACCAATGGTCTTCAATTCGAAAAATGAGAACACCAATGGTCTTCAATTTGGGGAAGAAGATCACCAATGGCCTTCTATTTGGAGTAGAAGATCAGAAATGGTCTTCTATTTGGGAAAGAAGGCAGCCAGTTGTCTTCTTTTCGGAGAAGAATACAACCAATGGTCCCTGATTTGGGGAAGAGGACCACTAACAGTCTTTGATTCTGAGATGAAGACCGCCAAAGGTCTTCTATTCGGAGAAGAAGACCACCAGTGATCTTCGATTCGGAGACGAAGACAATCAATGGCCACCAAAGGTCTTCGATTCGGAGAATATAACCTTCTTTTCGGAGAAAAAGACCACCAAGGTCATCGATTCGGAGAATATGTAATTATTTTCGGAAAAAATATGAAGGACCGATTCGGAAAAGAAGATCACCAATGGTCTTCAATTCGGAGAAGAATACCACCAATGGCCTACAATTCGGAAAAGAAGACCAGCAATGGTCTGCGATTCGGAGAAGAGGATCATCAATAATCTTAGATACGGAAAAGAAAACCAGCAATGGTCTTCGATTCGGAGAAGTAGATCACCAATGGTCTTCGATTCGGAGCAGAAGTACACCAGTTGTCTTCGATTTCGGTAAAGAAGACACCATTTGTCTTCGAGACAAAGGAGACCACCAATGGTATTTGATTCGGAGAAAAGGACCATCAGTGATCTTCGATTCGGAATAAAGGATCACCAATGATATTCGGAGAAGAAGACCACCAATGGTCTTCGATTCGGAGAAGAGGACCACCAATATTCGTAGAGAAGGATCTTCAATTCGGAGAAGAAAATCACCAACGGTCTTCAATTCCGCGAAGAAGTTCACCAATGGTTATGGAAAAGAGGACCAATAATGGTCTTTGATTCGGAGAAGGTCACCCTGGTCTTCCTAATGAAGAACACCAAAGGTTTTCTTTAAGGTGGATCTATATTTAAGCGTGAAAATGTTTTCTCTCAATACTCACGGCTCTGGTGTGTAGAACGGATCCGACGAATGTCTTATATACTGGGTACAATGGAACACGCGAAAAGCCAAGCCAGACAGGAAATCCCTGGGCGACAGATAACCAGCCACGGGTCTCAACTGGAAGCCAGTCTTACGCTTTAAATATGTACTAACATCCTGCAATTGGGGTATGTTATCCTCACGATAGCCGCAGTATTTGACCAACTCTGGCCAATTTTCCATATATTCGGGTACCGCATACTTCACATACAGACGATGGAGTTCATTGAAAACGGTACCCCTTAATTTTGAGAAGAAAAAAAACATTTCTAAATGAAGGAACTTTTTTTGATAAAAAAAATATGAACTTACCAGGTTTTGACCTCCTCAGGAGTATACTGGACTCTGGGTATGGGATTGCCACTTAGGATATACAAAAAATTACAAAAAAAACAAAGAAACAATTAAAAACCTTCACAACAATTTTCCCCTCCCACTTACTGCTTAAAATTCATGGCAATCGAATAGAATTTCTCACGACGTTTACGATAGACGGGATCCTTAAATCCAGGATGATCAGCATCCAATTCGGAACCATACATCAGCACATTTTGGGCTTTGTCCAAATCGGCAATTTTGCGAGGAAACCACATCATATCACCAAAGTCTGAAATAAGGGGTTACATAAAGACATCCTTTAAAAAAGAATTTAAATACCCACCAAAGCTTGAGCATGCCGACAAAGATGGCGCCCGAACCAATGCACTCTTGTCCACTGATGTGAAATTTACCGAATGCACTTCACGATTCAACATCTGCAGCACCTGGTCCAAACGTTTCGGATCACATTCAACGTCGACCACAACATCGGCCTGAAAGATGTATCGTAATGTAGTGTAGAGTATAAAAATATTAATAAAAAATATTCAGTGAATGGTTACATATTTTTCAAATTCCCTAAGATTTTGGCATAGCATGGAGAAATTTCAAAACATTCCATTGAGACCACTTCGTCCGGAAAATGTGGCCAAGACCTTTAAAACAACTGAAATCTTTGGTTACCGCTACGCTATGGAAACATTTCTCAGTTTAAATTAATTTCATTTTCGATTTATTATAAAAAAAATATTTTTCAATTTTATTATAAAAAATCGTTTTTCAATAGACATTATATCAATTTCATTTGCAATTTAAAACACAGATTTTGTAATTTAATTTTTTTTTCACTTTCTATTTCAATTCTTTTTAAGTTTCGACACATATTTTAGAAATTATTCTTAAAAAGCACATATATTGACTTCAAGAAAAATTTTTTATATTAAATTTTAGATTCAAATTTTCATTAAGACAATCTTTTTTTTTTGTAACAACAATGTTACAAATTGTTGAAGCACTAATAAATAATGTGGGTTGTATCGTGATTTCAACAGACAGGCAGACGGACATCGTTAAATCGACTTAGACTTTATGCTGATCGTGAATATATAAATTTTATGGGTCTACGACGAATATTTAGGCATGTTATAAACGGAATGGCAAAGTTAATATACTCTCATTTTTATAGTGGAGGGTATAAAAATTTGAATAAGAATTCGAATTTGAATAAATCTAGTTTTAATTAAAAAAAAATCCAAACCATAATAGAAAAATCCGAGTTTTAAATGAATACAGCTTAAATTTAAAAATAAAATAAAAATAATTTGAAAAACATAATTTTGAAATGTTAAGTCAACATTTTCAAATTTGAAATACAACTGAAATCGATAAATTCCATATGAAAATTACATTGATTCGATAATTCCAACGGGAATATGTACGTATTTGTTATCTTTTTTTATGTATTGGAAATTTTAAGGAGAGATTTCTATATTTTTTAAATTATATGTTTTTATTGTAAACGTGATTTTTTGGTTCCTTCAATTATTTCTTTCTTGATTTTTTTGGGTTAAATGGAGTAATAAAATCGAAGCACTAAAATTTCATATGATTTTGAGATAAGTCTTTTTCATGGTCTTCTGACAAATTTTGTTTAATAAGGAAAAAGTGCATTAAATTAAAAAAAATATTCCTGGAAGACCACCATTTTTGATAAGGAGGTCTTGAAACAAAATCCTGATTGAAACAAAATTATAATAAATCTACAATTCCTTAAACACTAAAAATAAAAAAATAAGAAAAACAATATTCCTAAAAAACACAATACTTTGTCACTTAAAAAAGGTTCCTAATAATTCAGGAATATCTATTTCTAGTCAAGAGGTGCTTAGAAAATGATCTCAAAAATGTTTTTTTAAAAATTCTTGATTTCAGGTCTAAAGTCCCATGAAAAAAAGTTTTCTTAAAAATCCTTGAAAAATCGTAAAAAAAACATGAATTTTGGTCAGCAGATTATTACAAATTTCTTAAATATACAAGATTTTATTTAGGAAGACCTTGGGATTTGTCTTTTTTTTAATTCACGATTTCAGGCCAGGAAGTCCTTAAAAAATTCTTACATTTAAAAATACATTCTTTAAAACTCCACGATTTAGAGGCCCTTCCTAAAAACCAAAGATTTTTGCTTCAAATGTTTTGGAAAAAAAATAATTTTTAATATACGATTTATTATCAAAAGGTCTTTAGAGAATCTTTTTCCAAACATTTACGATGTCTTTAAAGATGTTTTTTTGTTTAAATTAACGAATCTCCTTAAAATTCCCATGATTTTTAGTCAAAAGGTCCTTGAAAAGCAATCTCAAATTTTTTTTCTTTAAAAATTCGTGATTTTAGGTCTAAAGGTCAATGAAAAAAGTTTGCTTAAAAATCTTTAAAAAATCGCAAAAACAAATACGTGAATTTTGTTCAGGATAACCTCAAAAAAATTCTTAAAATACAAGATTTTATTCAAGAAGTCCTTGAGACTTGTCTTTTTTTTTTTTTTTTTTTTGAAATTCATGATTTCAGATCAGGAAGTCCTTAAAAATAATTCTTATAATTAAAAAAATCATTCTTAAAACACTAGTATTTAAAGGTCCTTCCTTAAAATTGACTATTTTTTCTTCAGATATTTGGAAAAAAATGTAATATCCGATTAATTGCCAAAAGCTCCTTAGAGAATATTTTTTCAAATATTTACGATGTATCTAAAATTTTTTTCTAAAATTTACTAATATCCTTAAAAACTCACAGTTTTAAACCAAAAGGTGCTTGAAAAACAATATTAAAAAAATGTTTCTTTAAAAAGTCTTTATTTCAAGAAAGTTTTCTTAAATATCCATGAGTTAAGTGAGGAGATTCTGAAAAAAATCTTATAATACAAAATTTTATTCAGGAAGTTTTTGGAATTTAAAATAATTTCAGGTCTGGAGGTCCTTAAAAAATCATTCTTATATTTAAAAACCCACTTTTAAAAGTTTAAAAGCGATTTAAAAGACCTTCCTTAAAATTTACTATTTTTGCTCAACAGGTTAAAAAAAATAATATTTGATCTATTGTAAAAAGGTAAGTAAAGAATATTTTATTTTTCAAAAATTCACGATTTAAGACCAAGTCATAAAAAATGTACTATATTTGGAAAGAATGTCCTTGAAAAGAAACTGTCTTAAAGTATCAAGTCCTTAAAATAATTTTTATAAATAAAAAATCCATTCTTGAAAACTATTCGTTTTAGAGGTCCTTCCTAAAAATTGACAATTTTGTCTCAAGAGGTTTTGGAAAAAAAAGGTAACATCCGATTTATTGTCAAAAGGTTCTGAGATCATATTTTTTTGTCCAAAATTCACGATTTTAGGCCAAGACATTATTTGAGAGGCGTTCCTTGAAAAAAGTGTTCCTGCTCTTTTTTTTGGTCGAGAGGTCCTTGTAAAAAATATTTTTAAAAACTTCACAAGTTTTAGTCAGGAGGAACACATGAAACATTTTTAGAAAATCCGCAAATTCAGAGATGAAAGCCTTGTAAAAAACTCATAAAGATCCACGATTTATGGCCTAGAGGACCTTATAAAAACTTTTTTTTGATTTAAGGTCAGCAGTTCTAAAAAAGTTTTCTTAAAATGACCATATATGTTTTTAACCATAATATGTTCCCAAACATCCAGGACATTTGGTCAAGAGGTACTTGAAACAGTTTCGTAAAATATCTACGACCTCTGGCCAAGACTTGATTGAAAATCCATGACTCTAGGCCTAGAAGTCCTGTTACAAACTTCACTATGCCCTCTTAGCGAAACTCAATCATCCTTCAGTTGTTTGGCAATAGACTCCCAAATTTTACATCGTCTGAAAGGGATAATCTGCCGCCAGAACGTTTACAATGGACTTCCTGCCATCCTAGATTCCTTAAGATAAATCCTGTCAGCTAATTATAGTATTTTCTTAATTTTGTATTTCAAGGATTCAATTATCTTCTCTATTTCAGAAATATTATCATGAAAAATTTTAAATTTCTGAACAAATGAAAAATTAATTTTTGATGCTCTGATGCTTAATTATTTTTTCCAAATGTGAATCCCCACCTTCAGGAGTTCGAAAATGATTTCGATTTGACAGGTAGTCGACAATAGATACCCTGCATTCAGTGCCTCTCTAATATTCAACCCACCTATAGTAGAGCCCTAGCTTTCTGTTCCTCTAAAATGTGCTCCTAGGATTAAGATTGTGTATTGGGGAAATTCCTATATGTTACATAAAAACCTAGCATCCTTAAACAGAATAATTGTTCAAGATTTCATTTTCAGCTTTTCTTCTAAGAATATTTTATGAAAAATTCTAAATTTATAGGCAAATGCGGAATATTTTCTCTTATCCTCATTTTTAATTTCCAACATAAAGAAATTTTACTCCAAGCTTCAAGGTCTTCAAAAATAAACTCCCAACTTTGAAAATAGACTCCAAAAATTTACTTCGCATAAACGAGAATCTCAGCGTTCATGTAGTCTAGATTAAATTCTCTTCAGTAGATTTTTAAGATCTGTTTTCCGTTCGTCGAGATAGAATCGCAACATAAGCTCTTCTAAAAAACACTCACAGTGTAAGTTTGGTCTAGAAGCGAAATGCAGAATTTCGCCTTTCTTTTTAACTACTTTACGACCTTTCTTTTCCTAAATAAAGAATTAAAATTTATAAATTAATGTGCCCCATATCTACATCCCTATACATGATCTGTCAGATTTTTTATCGGCTTTTATATCCGACTCTGGAAAAAAATTGCACTCACAAAAAAGTGTAGCACCCAAGACACCAAATTTAGCAATTTTCTCAATTTTATCTCTTGAAATTCCTCTCCTTTTCCACTTCACTCCGTTTTCCCACTTACCTGATTGGTGGTATTCTCCAATGGCGATAATTCCAAATGCAGCACATTTATGCCCAACTCCTGAAAGACCTGCAGAGCTCGGGCCAAATTTCCCACTTGATTTTTCAGCGTAAAAATGATCGAAACTCGATCGCCGGGCGAACATGGTGGTGGCGGTGCACTTTCATTGGCATTCATCAGCGATTTATTATTATGCAATCCAGGATTTTCCTGGGGAGGTAACAAGACAACAATGTTACTTCGATCAGTGCCATTGCGGGACTGTATCTTTGTAGCGGGTTGTAAATCTTTGTTCGCATCACTTACAGGATTATCGATGGAATCTTTTTTATTGCGTGGTCCATGCAATGGACTGCCCTGTTTGACAGCCCATTCCTGTTCACCACTTCGATAGAGCCAGAGACCCAATAGACTTTTGCCGGATGCACTCATTTTTGGGGTTTTGAAATTTTTATTTATTTTTTTTTTTCTTCTTTTAATTCAATTTTTTTTGGAAACTTTATTTTCAAATTTCTTTTTTCTTCTTTGGGCACTGATTTCCACCGTCAACCGTAAACAACACCACAACGTTCGCCACGACTTTTCAACAAGAACTGAAAGAGTCCTGCATAGCCTGTTGGGTTTTTATACCCATGCTGGAGCATCACACAACTTCATTCTACACACACACACTCAAACATACACAGACACACATATAAAGCTGAGATAACATAAGTTGTTACAATATATCTATCGTTAGCATTTAAACTTTCCCATACACACGAGTACTCACATACATATATAAATATTCATTGGCGTTATAGAATCCCCACCCCCTGACACAGTATTGTGGATATGTTTAATGGCATGTGTGTGTGTTGGTTAGGAGTAGGTTTTTTTTTGGGCCACTTGTTGCAAGTTCCATGTCATGATTCATTCATTTCTATCGTTGATTGATAAGATTAATGAATCAGGATCGCTTAGGGATAGTTTAAGAAGCAGGTCCATAATGACCCATAACAACTGCATTCGGGTGGTACAATAAGGGTCGTCGGGTCGTCCAGTAAGCCACCTAGGAAAAACTCTATTATACTCGCCTATAAGGACTCGTGTCAGCTCCCTGAATACAGATAGTCGAAACTAGACTCCCTGCCCACCCCTCAACTCGTCTAAAATAAACTGTTATGCTTTAACTAGTCTAAAATTGGCTTCCATCCTCAGCATGCCTTTAAGAGATCCCTATCCTTCTGAAAACAGAATTTTTGACCTTCGCTGATCTAAAATAGATTTCCTGCCTTCAGCTCGTCTATAACAAACTCCCTACCATGCGCTCTTCCAAACTAGACTCCGTATCTACAGCTCGTCTAAAACAGACTCCCTGCCGTCAGCTCGTCTAAAGGAGCACCCTGCTGTCAGTTCGTCTAAAAAATTCACCCTGCCTTCAGCTCGTCTAAAAGAGACTCCCTGCCTCCAGCTTGTCGAAAATAGACTTCCTGTCGTCAGCTCGTCTAAAATAGACTCCCTGCTTTCAGCTCCTCTGAAATATACTCCCTGCCTTCAGCTCGTCTAAAATAGCCTCTCTGCCTTCCACTCGTCCAAACTGGACTTCTTGGCTTCAACTCGTCTAAAATAGGCTACCTGTCTTCAGCTCGTCTAAAGCAGATTCCCCGCCTTCAGTTCATCTAAAGCAGACTCCCTGCCTTCAGCTCGTCTGGAATGGACTCCCTGCCTTCAGCTCGTCTAAAATAGACTTCCGGCCTTCAGCTCATCTAGAATGGACTCCCTGCCTTCAGCTCGACTAAAATAGCCTTTCTGCCTTTAGCTCGTCTAAAATAGACTCCCTTGCCTTCAGCTCGTCTAGAATCGACTCCCTGGCCTTCAGCTCGTCTAAAATAGACTTCCTGCCTTCAGCTCGTCTAGAATAGAGTCCCTACCTTCAGTTCGTCTAAAAAAGCCACCCTGCCTTCAGCTCGTCTAAAGGAAATTCCCTGCCTGCAGCTCGTCTATAAAAGACACCCTGCCTTCAGCTCGTCTAAAATAGACTCCCTGCCTTTAGCTCGTCTAAAATAGACTCCCTGCCTTTAGCTCGTCTAAAATAGACTCCCTGCCTTCAGCTAGCCCAAAATAGACTACCTACCTTCAGCTGGTCTAAAATAAACCTTCTGTCTGACTTCAGCTCGTATAAACTAGACTCCCTGCCTTCAGCTCGTCTAGAAAATACTTCCTGCCATCAACTCGTCCAAAAAAGTCCTTGTCATCAGCTCGTCTAAAGGAGATTCCCTGCCTAGAGCTCGTCTATATTGGACTCTCTGCCTTCAGCTCTTCTATAAAAGACTCCCTGCCTTCAGCTTGTCTAGAAAAGACTCCTTGCCCTCAGCTCGTCTAAAATAGACACCCTGCTTTAAGCTCGTCTAAAAAAGCCACCCTGCCTTCAGTTCTTCTAAAATAGACTCCCTGTCATCAGCTCGTCCCAAATAGAGTCCTTACCATCAGCTCGTCTAAAGGATATTCCCTGCCTACAGCTCGTCTAAAATAGACTCCCTGCCTTCAGCTTGTCATCAAGAGACTCCCTACTTTCAGCTCGTCTAAAATAGACTCCTTAGCCTTAATAGAAACTAAAATCGACTCCCTGCCTTCAACTCGTCCAAAATAGACACGTTTCTTGCCTTCAGCTCGTCTAAAATAGACACCCTGACTTCAGCTCGTCTAAAAGAGGCTCCCTGCCTCCAGCTCGTCTAAAATATACTCCCTGCCTTCTGATCGTCTAAAATAGACTCCCTGTCTTCAGCTCGTCTCAAATAGACTCCCTGCCTTCAGCTCGTCTAGAAAAGACCACCTGCCTCCTGCTCGCCTAAAATAAACTACATGGCTCCAGCTCGCCTAGAATAGACTCCCTGCCTCAAGGTCGTCTAAAATAGACTCCTTGCTTTCAATTCTTCTGAAATAGACCCCTACCCTCAGCTCGTCTAAAAGAAAATCCCTGCCTTTAGCTCGTCTAAAATAGACGAAACTAGACTGTCTATCCATCTATTGACTCCGTTCAGTTTGCCCATTAGGACTTTCTTCAAAGACCTTTTAACTTTCTTCAGGACGTCTACAATTGAGTTTTTGAATTTTGCCCGCACAAATATTTTATTTTTCAGCAAGTCCCTCAATGGGTTAAATTTTTCAAAAAAAAAAAAAATATACTCATACGCTCACACACCAAACCACCAAAAAAGTACCACTTGTTGACTGTTGCTCTACATATTTTCTCTTCATCGACCTCATACGCCTCGCTGCCATTTACCATCCAACAACAATGCCGCCGCCTTCCACATTAAATGCGTGGGTGGAAGATGAAGTGGGGGTGTAAACCATGTTTGATTGGCTAAATCAACAGGAAAAAGCAGACTCTCCTTAAAACTTGACTTCGGTGCTTTGATTCGATTGTTGGCGTGACGTCAGCGAAAGAGACACAGTTGCGGCTGCAGGTCTCCGTTGCGGATCATTTCCTTTTCTTCTTCAGGCACGGACACACACAACCACATGCACATATGTAAATATATAGACCAGTAGTAGTTTGTGAAGTTTTCTATTTGTTTTGTTCTTCTTCTTCTTCTTCCTCCCCTTCGTCCTTTTGTATTTGAATGAAGGACATGAAAGTGACTTTTCTCTCATTCAGAATAAAAGTGACACAATTAAGTATACGGGTTTGAAAGTTTTCCGATGCGAAGTGATATGAAACTTGTTGAATGCCTTGGATTGAGATTTGAGCGGAAATCGAAAACATTCAAGTACCCCCATTTCTTGCAAAAATTAAATAGTCTATGAAAATTTTAACTCTGGCCAGAAGCATTTCCTGCACTTTTCATAAAGGTTTTTTCCTTAGAGCTATTAAAGGTTAACCAAAAATTTGTTAAATATTTACTTCTGTCAGGACAGACATTGAAATATGGTGTTAAGTTGATTTGAAGTCGCCCTCGTCCTTTAGAAGTGAAAAAAACATCCTAGCTATTGAATATTAATCAGTTGTTGTTTTATCTGTTACACCTGAATGAGAATCAGCTAATTTACGAACATACAGACATAAGTATGTGCATGTGTGTTAAACATGTGGATTTGCTGAAATCAAAGGAGTTAAAGCAAAAGCTAAGGACAAGTCAAAAGGTAATATAGAGACCAGCTAAAGGGAGACGAGCTGAAAATAATCCATAGACGAGTCTAAAAAGCTGAAGCCAGGGACTATATTTTAGACAAACTGAGGGCCGGAAGTCGATTCTAGGCGAGCTCCAAACAGGAGCTGAAAAGCAGGGAGGGAGTCTTTTGTGAAAAAGCTGAAGTGACGAGCTGAAGGTAAGGGAGTTTATTTTAGACGAGCTGGAGGCATGGTGTCTTTTCTAGACGAGCTGAAGGCCAGGGAGTCTATTTTAGACGAGCTGAAGGCCAGGGAATTTATTTTAGACGATCTGAATTCAGATAGTCTGTTTTAGACGAACTGCAGGAAGGTAGTTTATTTTAGACGAGCTGAAGGCAGGGAGTCTCTTTTAGACGAGCTGAAGCCGGATAGTAGTATTTCGAAGAGCTGAAGACTTGGAGTCTATTTTTAGACTAGCTGAAGTCTATTCCAGACGAGCTAAAGGCAGGGAGTCTATTTTAGACGAGCTGAATGCAGGAAGTCTTCTTTAGACTATCTGAAGGCTGGGAGTCTATTTTAGACGAGCTAGAGGCAGGGAGTATATTTTAGACGAGCTGAAGGCATGGAGTCTATTTTAGACGATCTGAAGACAGGGAATCTATTTTAAACGATAGATAGTAGTATTTCGAAGAGCTGAAGGCGGGGAGTCTATTTTTAGACTAGCTGAAGGCAGGGAGTCTATTTTAGACGAGCTGAATGCAGGGAGTCTACCTTAGGCTATCTGAAGACTGGGAGTCTATTTTAGACGAGCTAGAGGCAGGAAGTATATTTTAGACGAGCTGAAGGCAGGGAGTCTATTTTAGACGAGCTGACGGCAGGGAGTGTATTATAGACGAGCTGAAGGCAGGGAGTCTATTTTAGACGAGCTGAAGGCAGGGAGTCAATTTTAGACGGGCTGAAGGCAGGGAGTCTCTTTTAGACGAGCTGAAGACAGGGAGTCTATTTTAGACGAGCTTAAGTCAAATAGTATGTTTTAGACGAGCTGAGATCAGGGAGTCTGTTTTGGACGAGCTGCAGGAAGAGAGTTAAGTTTAGACGATCGGAAGACATGAAATATATTTTAGGCGAGCTGAAGGCAGGAAGCCTATTTTAGACAAACTGATTTCATGGAGTCTATTTCAAACGAACTGAAGTCAGGGAGGAGTCGAGCTAAAGTTAGGAAGTATATTTTAGACGAGCTGAAGGCAGATAGTCTATTTTAGGCGATCTGAATGCAGGAAGTCTTTTTATGACGGGCTGAGGCCGGACAGTCCTATTTCAAAGAGCTGAAGGCGGAGAGTCTATTTTAGACTAGCTGAAGGCAGGAAATCTATTTTAGACGAGCTGAAGACCGGTAGTCCATTTTAGAGGAGCTGAGGTTTGGAAGTCTGTTTTTAACGAGCTGAAGTCCGGGAGTCCATTTTTGACGAGCTGGGGTCTGATT